AACACTGGATTCATTTCGGTTGAATGCTGGATTGATACAGGCATTGGAGTCGCTTTATAGGGACTCTAGTGCTTGTGTTAGGATCAACGGGGTCTACTCGGACTGGTTTGGCATCCATAAAGGTGTCAGACAGGGCTGTGTGGCTTCCCCGTGGCTGTTCAACCTATTTATGGACAGTTATTTGCAAAATTTGAAAGTTGAAGAATGCGGATTAAGAATGGGTGAGTTAAGTTAACCGTCAAATGCCTTTTGTACGCCGATGATCAAGTTATTCTTGCGTCTTCTGCGGCCGAGCTGCAAATGATGGTTACATTAATGAACAGATCATTAAAAGAAAGGGGTATGAAAGTGAACGCAAGTAAGACGAAAGTTATGGTTTTTGAAAGAGAAGAAAGTAAGACGATATGTGAAATAAGAATAGAAGGGGAGTTGATCGAGCAAGTAGATGACTTTGTATATCTGGGTAGCGTATTTAGCAGGGATGGGAGATGTGATAAGGATATAGAACGACGAGTGAATGCAGGAAATAGAATAAATGGGGCCCTACACTCTATTGTGAAGAGTCAAAATGTGTCGAAAAAGGCACGTATGGCAATTCACAATGCTGTGTTGGTCCCTACTTTAACGTATGGTAGTGAAAGTTGGGTGTGGCAGAAGAAGCACGAGAGTAGGATGAACGCAGTAGAAATGCGGTCGTTAAGGAGTATGTTAGGGCTGAATCTGAATGACAGTGTAAGAAATTGTGTAATAAGAGAAGAGTGTGGTTTGCAAGGTGATGTTGTGACCAGGATTAAGAAAGGAATGCTTCGGTGGTTTGGTCATGTGGAAAGAATGAATGAGAAAACAGTGACAAAGAAAATTTATGTTGCGGAAGTGAATGGCAGAGTCGGAAAGGGACGTCCTAGGCGAAAATTTATGATCGACCAAATTGGAGATTTATTGAAAACGGGCCAAATTAGGAGTACCCTTAACCGACGAGCATGTATGCGTAGGTGTATGGATGTGAAGGAGGCGAGAGAGGTGTGTCAGGATCGTGCCAAATGGAAGTCTGTAGTCTCTGCCTACCCCTCTGGGTGACAGGCGTGAGTGTTTATGTATGTATGTATGAAAATATTTCTAATGATTAGTTAAATAGATAAATATATGATGTTTTAGTGTTAGTTACGATGCTCGGCAAGAATTATTTCCGGTGTAACGAGGTTAACAAATATTTCTAACACAATTGTATTACCCTGGGCGCTACATAACCTAAAATATCCGATTGGTTTCTAATGACAACTTATATTTTCAGATTTTGCGCTATGTCCGGCATTATAGGCGACGAAGCTATTGCAGAAAAGCTTAACGATTCTGGAGACGATGGTGATGATGATGAGGTAGACGATCTGGACGGTGCTGCTGAGGAGGATATCGAAAGTTCTGGTTCCTCATCTGGTTCCTCACGTCAAGGTCGAGACCATTCCTTAAGACCCATAATCTTAGAAGTCAACCCTTTCGTTTGAGAGAGGACAAGGTTCTGAGTCGAACATCTTACTCAGGGGTCACCCTCGCCTCGTTGTTCCAAAACCCAACTTGGTTTGGTATTGAATAGAAAGTTGAAATAATACTAGTTTTCACGGAATTTATCGCGTATATTTAACTTTTTAAATACCCGACGTTTCGAAGCTGTAAAGCGTTCGAAACGTCGGGTATTTAAAAAGTTAAATATACGCGATAAATTCCGTAAAAACTAGTATTATTTCAATGTGTAGTGTTCGTGTAAATATAAGAAATCATTATGAATAGAAAGTTGATCACTGCTGCAGGGCGCGAGATAAAGAACGGTGACCCTGTTTCAGTACTTATAAATAATATTCAGTACTTATAATAAAATTGAAATGTCTGTCTTAAATATCTCAATATGTCAACCCAAATAATTATCTATTGTATTATTTATGTCAGCTTCATAATCACTCATATCATTAAAAAAATTATTGATAGTCACAATAATTGAGATGTCATCAACAAATAGAATACACTTTGATTATATACCTGTCAGGTATATAATCAAAGTGTATATCTGTGTATCACTTTTGCTTTGTCATATTGACAATATCTTTTATATACAATAGAAATAGTATTGGACCGAGGACACTTCCCTGTGGAACGCGAAATTTATTGTTCTTATATTCGGAAGAGAATAGTATTTTATCCCCATTTACATGGGCATTAGTAACAATGACACATTGATTTCTGTTATAAAGATATGATGATATCCACTGAAGTGTGTGTGTTTAATTCAACTCCACTTTTACAACAAAATTAAGGATGATACCTTTTTACGTAAAATTAATAGATTTGCAACTTTTGCTTTAATATTTTCAAATCGCTGTTTCTTGTATAAGCCAGTGCTTGACTACTATTCAACCTGTTCATATCCTCCAGAATTTCGGTCACGTCGGCCAACCTCAACGGAAACTAGCCATCGGCGCAAAACAGGATTATAGTGCCCAAGTGTATTCGCAAACACAGGTGCACTCTATTCCGTCACTCTCGTGGTCCGATGAGTCGATAAACCTAACACCCGGAGAGAGATCAGACGAAGGATCAACGGCTTAACGTGCTTTCCGAGGCACTGAGGTGAGACACTGCTAACCTCCTGACTCTGTGTAGCTACTAAGTTTCTTGACGAAAAAACTCAATAACTGATTTTGTTCCAACTGCTCTACTCAGGCTCTACACAGGAATTGCCAACGTCAGACAACCTCTGAGTCTAGGGTATTTCAAGAAAATGTCTTAGCGCTACTTTGAGAGCGCCGAAACACATCCCAACCTGCTACTGATAAAAGGAGCCACTTATGTTCGGACTCCAAACATCATGGCCACTCTCCGGAGGCCCCGTAACGTTCTAATTGAACAGCCAGTTCTTCACTACACACTCACCTCATGTTACAAACACTGTTAGGACAATTACACACACACAGCTTGTAGCCTTTCAGGTTTCAGTAAAAGCTAATAGCACTAACATCATGAAATAAAGATGCTGCCACAGCTTACTTGGACATGATTTATAATAACCTGTAGGAATGACATATTACTGCCATTCTGATTCTTTCATTTTTTATATATCACCTTTATATCTTGTCACAAGATCCACTATACAGTGTCGGTCCATAGATTGCCATTAAGCACAATCCTGTTCCACCTACACCATCAATTCTCTATTTATTCAATTGTTATTTTTGAATTAAAATGTATATAACTTTATTTTTCGACATATGAAATTAAAATTCTCATTGTTACATTAAGTCTGCTTTTTTATCTCTGATTTTTTCAGATCCTTTTTAATACAGCTTTATAACTTAGCATACAGGAAGTAAAATGGCATAATATGACATATCATTGGAGAATAATTTTTTCATCCAATGACATTATGGGAATTCAACTTTATATAATAAAGCAAATTTATGTTGCAGAAGTGAACAGAAGAGTCCGTAAGAGACGCCCTTGGCGAAAGTTTGCCGACCAAATTGGCGATCTAATGAGAAGGGGCCAAATTAACAGTACCCTTAACCGACGAGCATGTATGCATAGGTATATGGATGTGGAAGAGACGAGAGAGGTGTGTCAGGATCGTGCCAAATGGAAGTCTGTAGTCTCTGCCTACCCCTCTGGGTGACAGGCGTGAGTGCTTATGTTAAATTATAAAACTACACTAGGTACAGTCTATTTTTCTTTTTATGACAGTTTTGATTGTTCACCAATGTCACAGTGAAAGTGTTTATTGAGTAGAATTAGCTCAGCAGACACAAATACAATCTTACTTTCCTTTGAAAAAAAATCTTTTTTTAATTCTAATCATTGTACTTAGGGTCACAACTTCTACCAATGAAAAATCAAAAATAGTTGACAGTTGCCTGTTAATCACATTTGTCAATATCGAGATCTCAATCTGTTTTAAGGAATTAATTGACTACATATTTGTGCTATTTGCTGTAGAGACTATCTGGGTGCCCCTCCCACTAGTCTCTCTCAGTATATCTATATTCACTGAAGTTCCTTAAGAAAAGTTTTCATGACTGGCTGTTGCTGCTGGTGACAAGAGGGTCAGTTCTCTTCTCAGTCAAAGGCTAGGTATAGCCATTCAGTGAGGAAATGCGGCCAGTGTTCTTGGCACCATACCATAGGGAGTAGGACTGTATGATCATTTTTTTAAATATTGTATATATTTCGATATATAATGAAATATATACAATATTATATGTTGTTAATATTGATTGCATTGTTTAATTAGTGTTTATATTGATGGAATATTAAATTTGTGGCAAAGAAAAATTAAAAAATATAACTCAGACCTCATGTCACTACTTGGTGTAATAATCCAGTATAAAAGACTTAATTATGCTAAGTCTAACTACTTTGCACTTGCAGGTCCTGTGTTCAAAACAAGCTAGAACCAAATTGTGTATTAATATACTGAGTATTGATTTCAAGTAGTTGTGATTATCAATGTCAATGACATTGCATCCAAGCCTCCCTCCAACCTTTCACTTATTACAATATATTACATACTAAATACAAGCAATAAATCTAACACTACATCAGTCTTTTATTCTGATTATCTTCAACTATCCAGTCCTCTGATTATCTTAAACTATCCCAATTATAACTCCTTTGCAAAACATAAATATATTTTCTCTATCTATATATAGAAATGAAAAAAAAAAGAAAGACTGTTATACATTTTTATTTATTATTTAATATGTTAAATAAAAATATGCAATTACCTTATATTTTCTTCAGTCTCTAAAACTTAACAAAGATAAATGTATTAAATAGATTTCACTTACTACTATAATACCTATCTTTATGTTGGTAAATTGCTTTTTCATCTCTTAAATTATTTTTACAATAAATTCATGCTTAGGTACTTTCTGTTTTGTGATTTTAAGCTGACTTTAACACTCCCTTCTGTTCTAATTCTTTTTCTACAACAGTACCTTCATATCTTATTTTATCTTTTAGGGCTTCTTGAAGTAGTTGAGCATCAAACCTCTGTTTTGACCACTGATATCTGCAATATGACCAGTAGAGTAGAGTAGTAATGGAAAAAGTTCCTACTCCAATGTGCTGTGACAAAAACGGCTTTGATGTTTTAATAAATGCTACCAGTCCACCACCTATACCTGTTGCAATACCAGTTAAAAAACTTTCTCGAAAGCATGGAATCTTGGATAGGTCACGTCCAAATAGTACTAAGCCCTGAAATCAAAATGATATTAGTTTGTTTTATCTTAAAAAAAAACGAATGTAGAAACATTGAAAAATGTATTGTATATATCAATTGATTAAAACTACTTTTACAGATTTTATCATGTTTAACTCTGGGTTTAACAATGACATACGCACGTCAGTCACCTCAGTCCCTCATGACCATGGGTGCTGGAAAGCACCCGAAACATCGAGAATTAAAAATAGTTAAAATGAAACGCGACAGAATCCGTAAAAGTAATTTTAATCAACGTGTAGTGTTCGCATAAATATAAGAAATCATTTTGTATATATCAAGTTCAATCTGCATCTATTTCACATAATCTAAATTAGTATAAAAAAATTATTTTTATGATTAATAATAAAGGTGATTGCTACCAAGGTATTTATTTGTTTTTTTTAAAGGCTGGCTGGGTTTAGGCTGCTGGTTCTTCCCAGGACAGAGATCTTTTTCTGAATTAGTGGTAAATTAAAAAAAGGAACTTTGAATAAGTAATATTTACAATCTATTTATTTATTTATTCTTTATTGAATATCCTTAATATTCAAGAATACAAGGGCGGACTTAACGCCTTGAGGCATTCTCTACCAGTCAACCCACGGTGTGGTGAGAATTCGACGTATAGGTGTAGCAATATAGAATAAAAAACAACATAAAAATGAATATATCTATATTGTATGAAAAGTTTCTGTTCTGTTAATACAATAAATGTATATAAAACTATTGTCCTTTAAAAAGATTATTATTTTGTATAATAATTTTGTTATGACTGCCGTAGATTTTATTTACTATAAATAAATAAAAAATAAAAAGGTTATGCAAGATCCTAAACAAAATAAAAAACGAGCCTGGTTTTGTAATATAAACCCATGCATATTATGTAATAATAATGCATATTTATGAATCCCAAGACCATGTTGTTGTTTTTATCATAAACAAAAAGGTCAAATTCGGATGTTACCTTTTTTTCTTCTTCTGTGTCGTCATCTAGCATATTTTTAACCACAGTATCCATTATCGCTAGAATTTACAATTTCATTTAATTTAATTAATATTTGGTTTTTACAAACTTTATAAATAGTTTTAGTATGTGGTGTTTTTATGTTTTTATTTTGCGCACATCGGATCGCGAAACGCACAGACGCGCACAGAATTATCTGCCACAGACCACAGACCATGGAATGGAGTATATAATGTACTCTGCTCTGTGGAGTGGAGTTTAGAGAGAAGCCCACTTTGCACTATGGGATATAATATAATTTATATTACATCTCGAGATATACATAAATTAATATCGCTTACCGTACTTTTAAATGGAACCGTTTTCACTTGGATATAATATATATTACATCCCAAACTATAAATATTTTTTCGATCGACCGAGCGATATTTTCATATTATATTTCACCTCCTGTATCCCGCACCCACTTACGCGTCTCCGCTACGTCCACAGATCATCAAATAACGAACGCACACTGGTTAAAAGATATATCTCACAGTGTGAAGGGCAATCGCGGGATATAATTTATATTTCGGGATATAATATACAATATGTAACAAAAACCCTGTGGTTCCCGTTAAGTGCGTTATCAGAATCAGTATTCAAACGTATAGAAATAACTTTACTTCAGAAAACTCGACATAAAAATAATCAAATTAAATTTTAATTAAATAATATTTGTAAATTTTATGTGGATTAATTACCTCTGCCTGGAATTATCGACAGCGGCGGGTGGCGGCCGGCGCTGACGTACATCAAAGACGGGGCACGCGCGCGCGCGTCTTACCTACACTAACTGCAAACTGAGGTCGTGACCTCGTCACATCACAGCTGTTATAGTCAAACACTAATTTATCACCATGTCTACTTGACGACCACGAAGATGTTCAATATGTCCACCTTAGGTACGACTTTCCATTGACGTCCATCGAATTGAGGGAGGGAGGGGGAGGGAGGGGGAGAGGTTTAATACCCCCCCTTAAAAGGAAAAGTTGCGGAGCCCCCCCTTTTCCAGTTTTTTCATTTTTAATTCTGAGAAAATTTTTCTCATTTTGTGGATTAATATTAAGTGTAAAAAACCAGGAGGACACCTTGGGGGAGGGGGGGTACCCCCCTGCCGGAAGGGGGGAACCCCCTTTCATCAGAAAAAAATAGGGGGGATTGATTGAGAGGGATTTCTGTGTCTATTTTGAGACTGCAATGTCTACGGCGCTGCGGGAAGAGCAGCCTCTTTGCCTTTGCGTAAAAAATCGGAGGATCGCAGGCGGAGGCTGCTCTCCATACGCGCCTCCGGCTCTATAATAACACTCTAGGGGTAGGACAGACTCGTACCAAGTGGAGTCGGGGTCAACCAATTTGGTTCTTCGACATAAGTTAAACCTAACCTATTTTATTTATATACTTTTAAAATAAAAGAAATCAAATAAAATTCATAATTTATTAATCAATTTTATATACATATTGTATTGCTTTAATTAATTCTTCGAAAACATCTTTATGTGCTATTTTTATTTTTCTTCGCCAAGAATATTCAATTAGCCAGTCTGTAAAGTTTGCTTTATAACTTTCTCTACCAAACATCACTTTTAAATTTCGCCAGTGGCTTTCTATTCGTTGTGTGTGTGTGTCCCATCTGGTGCCACAAATTTATTTATAGGGTCGCTGTGATTAACTTTCTTATGTATATATCCATATTGAGGTAGGCAATCGTATGCTTTTGTATTATTGGCACCAACATTTCCGCAGATCTATCTTTATCGGGACACACTTCTAATCTCAAATCATCTTTCCCATTTTCTATCATGCCCAGCACCCAATGGCCTTCAATGTGTCTCCCTCTGTTGTACTTTCGTTTTCCAAATTTTGATTCGTCTATTTGCACGATTTTGCCTGGACCACCAATCTTGCCGTTAACTTCTTGGTGCTCCAATTCATAAACAATTACTGTCTCTCGGCAGTAAGAAAACCAGTCAGTTATTGTCCTTGTTGATAAAATTGTTTCTTTATCTTCACGGGCTGTTTCTAATTTAACTTGATGATAACTATATTTTTGGCTGAACATATACATCAGTAAAAATTGTAACTCGATGGACAGCCGCGCATTCTCGAACCATGTTCCCGCTGCCCGAATCACTGCCTTAGAGCGACAGTTACTCTTCCTGCATTGAAATATGCCAAGCTGACCAGTCTTACTGTTGGAGCTTAACGCCGTAGGTCTCCTATGATATGAGCACATTTTTTCTGTAGGAAGGAGCCTATGCTCTTCAGCAAATGCAATGCACTGAGCTGGGGTGTTGAGCCGGGTTATTATTTTATACATATTCCAGTGGCACCCAAAACAAGCAAAAATATTCCTATTAGAAATCTAATTACTGCTTTACTCGTCAGCTTTTTCTGTGAAGTTTACATATGTGCTATATAAGAAACCACGGGTAAGGTTTACAATTCGGTCGCCTGAATTAGGGGGTGGGGGCTGGTGTGGGGGGAGGGGAAAGAGTTGTAGAGTCACCCCAGTCAACGGAGCCCTGCTTCGCGGGGCTCCTGCTTCTGAGTGGTTTACAAAAAAACATCCACGAAGGGGATGACGGGGTCTATTCACTCGCTTCGCTCGCTCACTCGACCCCGTCATCTCCTTCTAACCTAATCTGTCCGAGTCGGGGTGCCCCACGTCCTAGGCTCGATACGCTCGCTATTGCACCCAATATAACACCAAAATTTTAACTTTTATAATTACTTTAATTTATAATCATAATTTATGTCTGCCACTATTTGTAAGAAAGGATCTTTGCAATATTTAGCAGTATTCCGCCGCCACAAATATTCCACTATTCACCAAAATTATGAAACTCTGAAGCAACGGCATGACGAAAAGCTGTCAAGAAAATGGCCGGCCTAGCGATTAATTTTACACATTTTTAAATCGATTCAAATAGATATTGGATGAATCGATTCCGCTAAAATCGATCTTTTTTTGATTTACGTTAAAAGTTTATATTTACAATATCAAAAGATACAACAAAGTACAGATAACATTGAATGGTTGAATTAAAAAATGTCATTCTTTACGAGTTAGGGTACATTCAACTAATTTTAAATCATTTTACAAATCTTAATAAGACAGAAAAAGATTCGATCTCGATTCTTTAGGGTGAAATATCGATTCACTAGATCGTTTCAGTACTATATATCGATATTACATTGACAGATGAAACGTCAAAAACGTAATTAATTAGTCATTTACCAATATTTTTAAAAAATATTAAAAATACTTCGACACTGCTCCGGCAGCAAAAATCGAGTGGGGGTGCTTCAGATAAACACCCTTGACCCCCCCCCCCACAGTGACAGAATCTTCAAATTCAGGCGACCGAATTGTAAACCCAACCCCAAACCACAGTGAACCAACCTTATTTCCTCGGCATAGTAGTGGACTCTTCGGTCAGACGAACCAGGAGCTCGAGGTTCCGCATCAGCCACGCTGCTCTCAGACGACGTTGGAGACGCAGGCGGCAGTACCGACACGGTACTGGGAACAGTGGCGCGGGAACTACCAGCTATTGGTTTCGATAGCACAGTCATGGGCACAAGTGGCTCACTAGAGTCCAACACTTGCACACACGGGGGGCCTGCAGAAGAGCTCGCGACAAGTGGCTCACCAGAGTCCAACACTATAACTACACTCAATTCTACAGACGGCACTTCACCACACGGGGGGCCTGAAGAGGAGCTCGCAACAAGTGGCTCATCAGAGTCTAACACTTGCACTACACTGAATTCTTCAGACGGCACAGCAGAACACGAAACTTGGGGCTTCGGAGACGCCATGGTGGTAGTCAAACGTTGTTTTCAATGACAGGAGTACGTAAACGATCTCAACTGCTAGGGACACAAACAATGACTGAGGATGACACTGACGACAACAACTGAAAATAATTCTGTTATTTAAATATAAACTGTTAAATATATATGCATGCATGAAAACTATTAAAATGGATACAAAATATAATTCATCATCATCATCATCATCACAGCCCTTCACAAGTCCACTGCTGAACATAGGCCTCCCCCAAGTAATGCCACAAAGCACGGTCCTGAGCCACCTGCATCCATCGACTTCCTGCATATCTTACCAGGTCGTCACTCCATCTAGTGGGGGGTCGCCCTACACTACGCCTACCGGTACGAGGCTGCCACTCGAGAACCTTTCTTCCCCATCGGTTATCGGTTCTTCGAGCTATATGGCCGGCCCATTGCCACTTCAGCTTACTAATCCGTTGGGCTATGTCGGTCAATCTGGTTTTACTGCGGATATCCTCATTTCTGAGTCTATCACGCAGAGAAACTCCGAGCATAGCCCTCTCCATAGCTCGCTGAGCGACCTTGAGCGTCCTCATACGGCCAGCAGTGAAGGACCACGTCTCTGATCCGTAAGTCATCACTGGCAACACGCACTGGTTGTACACTTTAGTTTTCAGAGATTGAGGTATACCTGACGAGAAGATATGTCGTAATTTCCCGAACGCTGCCCAGCCGAGTTGAATCCGTCGATTGACCTCTCGGTCGAAGTTGGACTTACCTAATCGGAATATTTGTCCCAGGTAAACGTACTCGTCAACAACTTCGAGCACAGTGCTTCCAACAACTACCGGCATAGGTGTGACATGGACATTAAACATAATCTTTGTTTTGTCCATGTTAATATAATTATTTACGTAAATTTATATAAAATGAAATATTACCCAAAATATGACAAGTTAACCGTACTTAAAACGGAACATTCAATGGCGTGATATATCTGTAATACGATATAATCTATGGTAGGAATTGACGTAAATATTGCAAAAATTATTGATTTTCGATAATTTTTTTCTGAAAAACTACGCGTTTCCGCATGTTAAAACTTTGCGTGTGTGCTTATATTAATATCATCCTTCTATAAAAAAAATATCAATCCCCAACTCGACGGACGTCAATGGAAAGCTTACCCCCACCTTGTACCTCTATATATTTGTGACACCGGCTTATAATGTCTGGACGCACGCGTTGCATAACAGACATTTCGGAATTTATTTTTTCAAAGGCTGCGACTATACGCATACGCATTTCTGCCACGGTATCGCATGTTTTTTTGGAATGCAGTCTGCTTAATTGTACCCCAGAAATAAAAATCTAAAGGTGTGAGATCAGGTGATCGCGCCGGCCAGTTGACCGGTCCACCGCGGTCAATCCATCTTTCACCGAATTCAGTATCCAAAAAGCTTCTTACACAACGGGAGAAATGCGGTGGAGCACCATTGTGTTGAAACAATCGTGTTCTCGCAAAAAAACGTCCGTAGTTTGAAAACTCAAAAAACAAAAAAAAAACGGTGAACCGCTCATTGTGTGATCAAAGAAATACGGACCAATAATTTTGTCACCTATAATTCCCGCCCACACGTTGATTTTCCATCGGTGTTGAAAGTGGCTTGGTTTATACGAATATGGATTTTTCGTTGACCATAAGTGTTCATTATGAGCGTTAAATACACCTGTTCTTACAAAAGAGCATTCATCCGTAAATGTACGCGGTTCAAAAACTCAGGATCTTCTTCAACCTTATCAAGTAACCATCTACAGTAATCCTTTCTCGGCTCGTAGTCGTTGGGAAGACGACACTGAACTCGACGATAATGATATGGGTGTTGGCCATCATCTTTGAGGGCTCTCCAAACGCGCATATGGTTCACACCTAGTTCACGCGCCACCGAGCGCGTGCTCCGCGTCGCATCTTCCTCAAACATGTCGAGAATGTGCTCCTCGATGTCGTCGTCGTACATCCTTGGTCTTTTATTCTGAATCTGTACGTTATTGATCACGGCCATGCACACTGCCAGTATTGTACATACGAATGTGAAGTCGTTGGAACGTCATCGCCGACGGCAATTGTATATTTCGTGGAGTAGCAAAGCACTCCCCGTAAAGTCTTCGTGCTGCTGCATAATTGCAGTTACATTTCCCGAGACACATCAACATATTAAAATATCCCTCGTTTGAGTAAGACATCACACACAAGTCATTTACGGCGGAATATTAATTTCGCAATTTAAAACACAACCGTCAATATCAGTGCCAACGCGCTACTGGTGCTTGATGCTTGTTTGTTTGCATAGACGTGGCAAAGCTATTGTACTCTGTAACATAATTTTGATATTTTCTAAATCGATAAAAAATTTCGTGATTTTTTTATGTTACTTTTTTTTAATAATATTTATTATTTATTTATTTACTTCAGACAGCGTCCGTAAGTGTTATTAGGAAATTAAATTATAGCTAGGATTAGTAAAAATACATTAAAACACTTTTATAACAAGAAACATTTAAAAAATTGTGTTATAAATCCACACAATAACAAATACTTAAACTATTACGTTGCTGTGTTTTTCGATATCTAATAATTAGCATTTTTTTATCGACCGAGGATAAACAATACTTGTTTATATTTCTATTCTTGACCAATGAATTGTGACAAAATTTTATGTTTATAAAACTTCCCATGTTTTTAAATATTACTACCAAATATTATTAGCACAGAGTAAATAATACATACGACGACCACGAAGATATTATTCAATATGTCCACCTGTCACACATTTGCGACCCCGGCTTCTATGTTTTATCGACCGACGATAAACAACCCTTATTTTTATGTTTATTCTTGATCACTGAATTGTGACAAAATTTTATGTTCATAAAACTTCCCATGTTTTTAAATATTACTACTAAATATTAGCACAGATTAAATAATAGATATTGGATCAAAATTAGTTAATCGGCATAAAGTGGACGCTACTTTTAATCACTAGAAGAGTGGAGTTTTTTGGGTTTTTCCTAGGTACCTAAGTCCTTCGTCGACTTTCGCTTTTGAGTTCAAAGAGCGCGCAAAACGCCGCGTATATTACCTATTAATTTTGTTGTGTTTATTATATTCTAGTAATAAACGACAATATGAATTTATTTAAAAAAATAATTACTACCTTCTACATATTCTTTATCGAATAATATTTCATATGAAAAATACATACTAAATTTCTCCTACCTACAAATAGTTACAAATTTGGAATTAATCACGGTATTTTATGCATGAAATAACCCTTTTAAATATTTTCGTAGATCTATTTACCAATAAAGTGGAAATTTATAACATAAGTATTCAAACACTATGTGTATTGGGGTTGAAATAATATCCATTTCATTATAATTTCTATTATTTTGAAATTAAAATTTTCGGAGAATAACTGAATCTAGATAGGTATAAAGATTTACACAAAAACCTTGGGGAAGCACGCGCCGCTTAGCAGCTTGCTTTGAGTCGGCCATGTCAGTGACCTCATATCGGCCGTGGACTATTATTTATTCTGTGACGTAGTAGATATTGGTCTAGTTGTCGTAAACGCGGTGTTTGAACATGAGATCCGAAACTCGAGCCAAAATCAGTTCTTGTTTTTTGTCCAGAAATTCTCTGTAGCACCCCGGAGTCGTTAAGTTGGTGGTGTCTCACCCCCGTACCTCGGAAAGCACGCAAAGCCGATCATGCGCTTGATCAGCCTCCGGTCGTGTCGGAGTAAAGTCCCATCACATTATGAAAGTAAGGGGAATACCTGACCTCCACTTGTACTTATACATAAATCTTGACTCTATAATGAATATAACATGAATATTCGCGAGAAATGGGACGCAGTCAAAAAAGCGAAAGTATGTTTCCAATGTTTGTCACCTAACCATAGGAGGTTAGAGTGCAAAGCGAAAAAAATGTGGTGTAGAGGGATGTAGAATGTCACATCATCGAATGCTACACCGATACCCCAATGAAAATACCTCGCCACAAGGGGACGAGGGGGGTAAAGAGGCTCAGATTACAACTATTAGTACAGTAAATGCACTTGCATGTGCATACTTAAAGATTATACCGGTCGAGTTGTATGGACCTAGAGGAAATTTAGTTTATTATGTCGGCACGTGTCGGTAAGTTCAGAAGCAAATAACATTTTTAGAAATTTAATATTTCTTAAGTTATCTTATTAGAAACCCAAAAACCCCATTTAAAGCAATCAAAAAAAATCATTATCATAATTGCCATGCCTATGTGTACACCTATACGTCCCCGAAATGACCAACAGGGTTTTTGTTACATACTGTATATTATATCCCATAGTGGAAAGTCAGCTATGAACATAAAATTACAAAATTTTACAATCAAGATTATATTAGATTATGAAAATGGGTAGTAATATAGTCAGTCTTGTTCTAAAAGTAATTTATGTACCTGTTGTTCCGTTTTAATCAGGATAATTGGCGATTGTTCACTTTTCCGCACATAAATTTTGCCGTAAGATGTCCACACGAATTTATAACCTTTAGATTTAGGCAAGTAATGTAGTCGGGAAGCCTTTGGTGTCAGATTCTCTGAAAGAAAAACCGGTGTATCCGCGTGCGACTTCATACCAAGGTGCTTTGCGCACAGTTTGGTTCAGTTTCGAATCGTCTAAGACCGAGTGCTTTCCGATCGGCTCGATTCACTGGCATTGCGAAGAGATGTTGCATCTCTTTGCATTTTCTTTCGCATATACCATGGAGAGTGCTCTGAGGAATTGTTCGGATTAATCCCAGCCGCCAAATTTCGTGAACGCACTACGCGGCAAACGTCCCGATACCACCCACACCATCTGGATGCTTGGCGGTCCACCACTGTACGTTTCAAAAGGAGTTTTCTTCCGCGTACAACCTTTCTGTGGAATAGTTTACTACCGGCGATTTTTCCGGACCGATACGACCTGGGGACCTTCAAGAAAAGAGCTTACTCCTTTCTAAAGGGCCGGCAACGCACCTGCAATTCCCCTGGTGTTGCGGTTGATCATGGGCGGCGGTAATCACTTAACATCAGGTGAGCCGCACGCTCGTTTGCCCCCCTCTTCTATAAAAAAAAAATAAATTTCGTATGTTGAAAGATTTTGCCATTTTTAGGAAATCTGTTTTCAGTAGCACTGAGCCAGTTTCAACTACAATGAGGGTGTTTTTATGATCTGGCTTTTTTCCTCTGACCCTATAAATATCTTTAATATGGGTATTGTTTATTTTGTAGTCAATAGTTTCTGATAGAGTTACCACCATTTCAATTAAGTCCTGTTTAGTCTCAGAATCCTTTTTAGGCACTCCCTTTATTTCGAAGTCGGTTTTGCGTCACAGCACGCTACAAGTACCAAGATAACAGAATCAGTGTTGCCAATTTAGCGACTTTGTCGCTAAATCTAACGAGTTTTTTGTTTAGTTGGGGAGTTTAATTCAATGTTTAGCGACAATAAATATTCTGGCGACTTTTAGCGACATTTGCACTTACTTTAATTTTTTGTTACCATCTGACTACTTTAGCCGTAAGGAATACTATACTCTATCCGTTAAAGAAATAATAAAATATAAAGGAACCGTAACAAAGATTCTCTGAATGTCGCTTATACAATAATAAATACATTAAAAAAGCACGACTACATTCCATCACCTATTACAAATAAATCACTTAACATGTGCAACATTATTATGCTCATATTGCTTATATATACTATATATACATATATATACAACACGTATCATAATTAACGCACTTTGAGAAAGTAGTTTGTTCAGAATCGTTTACTGAATCGATTCCTATCATTTTTAATATAGGTAATTTTTTATCCCAAAAATAATTAAAACTACAACACGTACGAATTAACTTGAGACTCCGCTGGAATGCGATCCCCTTCCCGATACGCGTCTCGACTCTAGTTCGATATTTTTGATAATTGTTTGTTGTTTGGTTTGGACTTTTGAAGAGAGAATTAATTATATCCCTCAGAGGGGACGAATCCAGCTCATAGAGTGAAAGTGAGGACGATCTAATGGACGGAATAGAACCGATCGTATACAGTGACAATGAATAATAAATATTATAATAAATCCTTATTAATATTCCTTACTTCTATTCCTTGATTTTACATAGTTTGTGCTGTTCCGCTTATCCAAGATTGATTCACTTTCACCCTAAGGTTGCCTGGGAGAGATTGCTTTTTAGCAATAAGGTCGCCTGTTATACTTTGTATTTTTATTGTGTACGAATCTGTAACACTTTTTATAGTGCAATAAAGTGTATAATAAATAAATTAATAATATTATAAATGAGAAAGTGTGTATGTTTATTTCTTTGTCCTTCCTTGACGCGTTAACTAAAAATAATATTATATATATTATAAAAATTAAATATTTAAAATATATAAAAATGGCAACAGAATATCACCTATTACTTCACCCCTTGCCAGAACATTTTATTTTGTTTTTATTAATAATCTCATGCAAATCTCAAAAATTTCAAATTAAAAAAATGTTACGACGCATTATTTTGCACACCGTATATTGACAATTACGTCATCGGCCCAGGTCTCAAGTTAATTCGTACGAGTTATACGTAAATTGCAGTCACACTAAATCTGTTCAGTCAAAACAAACTGAAATGGACCGTAACTTAAGGCAATAAGACTTTTAAGAGTGCAGTTTTATTTGTATTATTACTAATTCTCTCATTCAACAAAAATAAAGAAAAATGTACTTTATTTCAAGCACGTTAAAGTCGTTGCGTTCGTGGATTTGTATTGTGACCACAACATTCTTCCGGAATTAGTATAACTAATTTGATAAATAATCAGTGCATATAAATGTTTAACTAAAAATTCAGTGTATGTATTATGATTATAACATAATATACTAATTGGGGTGTATTATATATATATATATATATATATATATATATATATATATATATATATATATATATATATATATATATATATATATATATATATACATAAGAATATTAATGTTAGACGAATATATTGTTCGATTTTATCTTTGTTTCGCGTTTTTTTTTATAAAATTAAATTTAGCGACATTTGGGGACTTTTATTTGTTACTAAATTCATGTATAACTAGGGACTTTTTGACGGCAGTCTAGAGACCTACGGTAATTCAATGTGGCAACATTGAACAGAATGCGTGAGTGCGTCACCGACAGCGAACGATGGCAGGTGGCGAGCGAGACGTTGCTTGAATCACAGGGGGCGGAGCCAGAGGGGCAGAGCTCTTCTGCTTCTTGTAACTTATGCACTCCTATTTTTATATATTAAGTAATTAAAATAATTATTTAATAAGACGAATTAATTCAATGATTTATATATTTTAGCAAAGATAACTGGCACAGATTAATATACACGTACACACCATACGGCGGTCCGAGGGGAAGAGGAGACTAAGTAGCTATGTAGCAAGCTACAGAGCCTCAGCTTCAGGTACTGACATCATAGATAACTACATTTATGTAGCAAGCCGACCTCTTATTAGTTTGTGAAGCTGACTGACATAGTCTTTATAGATAATAATGACAATATAGCAGTATACTATAGATCAGGGATGTAACGGAGGTAGTTTTATCGGAAGCGAAGACGGAGTCGGAGTTTTTAAATTTGCTTGATCGGAGTCGGAATCGGAGTCGGAGGCAGGGTCAGAAGTGGTGACATGAGTGAGAATTTTTATTTAAGGATGAATAAAACATTATTTAGTCAAATTTTTTTCTTTTCATTTATAAAACACAAACAATGAAAAAAATGGCATATTTCCAAATAAACAAGAAATTAAAATAAATGAACTTAAACCCAAAGTAGTATATTACAATATATTAAATGAACAAAAGCTTTAAAACAAATTAAATCAAATGAATTGACTCCAAAAGTAGTATAATATACTTTACGAACAAAAGCTTTGAAGCTTTGTCTCCGTCCAATCTATTTCTTAACGAGTCGTAGATTAGGCCAGCGCCACTAAAAAGTTAAGCCTGGATGACACGACAAATATTGGCGGGCAATTGATTGAAGGGGCTGGAATTTTGTATTTCTATTTACTTTTTCTTTATTGAACTCATTTAGTATACTTTTCATTACAACAAATTTGTCAAAAACTGCACATTTTTCAGATGTGGTATTATCATCGTCTTCATCACTGCTTAACAATATATTCGGCAAAACTGTTTGGACATTACTATGGCTAGCTTTTTGCTGGTAATTCCATTCTTGCCCGTTTTTCTACAGGAAGGGCAATATTATCAGCAACGTTTTTAGATGTATCTGCATCAAATAGTGACGTTATTTCTGTTTCAGTCTTCTCTTTAACCACTTCATTAAAAAAAAATTGTTTTATAGCGAGGATCTAGATATGTTGCTATTGCAAAGAAATTGTTTGATTGAAGGTCACCAAATTTGGAATTTAATTGATCGACGGTACATTTTATTATACTTATAAATTTTTCATTTGTGTCTTGTTTACTGCTTTCAGTGTGTAATGTATACTTTAATGTGTGTATAAGTGGACTTACTGATGAGATACTGGTGTTATTGTCACTCATATTTCGGGTAATTTCTTCAAAAGGTTGAAGTATAATCACTTTTTTTTAAGCTGCAGCCATTCTTCAGGAGACAACTGAGAGATGTTGTGTTTACATGCATACAGGCATAGAGAATCCTGTATTCTAATCATTCTTTCCAACATATAAAATGTACTGTCCCACCTGTAACAAATTAATTAAACTACTAAACGCTTATAATTTACACTAATTTACAGTATAACTTAAAGTATTATTTAAATTTAAATTAAATGAATGACAAAAACTAAATAATACACTCATTATAATCAGCGTGCATATACCACAGCAAGTTTTAATAAAATCGATTTAATGGTTTTATTTGAATTTATTGAATTTTATTGTATTAGCGTGGATTTTTGATTGAAATGAAATAAACTGGAGGTAAAAATAAATGCACAAATGAATACAACTAACCGCGTACTACACTCCTGTATTACACTCAAACATTCTTGGTTGAGTTGTTCCTTTTGTATTTTTTGCAGTTCAGTCTGAGCTATTTGGGAATGATTAAAATTCGTCGAAATTTTTTTGCATTTCGATAATAAGGCTTTAATTTCTTCATCACAATCTAACAATGTTCGCACACACAGTTGCAACTGATGTACAGTGCAACTGACATCAGGTATGTCGCCGAGTTTCATTGCTCGTTTCGTATTAGATCCAGAGTTGCGTACAAAACAATGAATTTTCTCTTTTATGATGCCCCATTCCATCAAAATACTCTTAATTAAATAAAAAAAAAATTCTAAACTAAGTCTCCTGTATTTCTTCCATCAAATGTGTGGCATTTTTAAAATAACTTTTTGCCTTTTAAAATCTCTATTTATGCCATGCGCTGTCAGACTCAATAAAGACACTGGTGGAGCCACGTGTCTAAGGTTGCCGAAGTCTAGTTCCCCGGTCGAACCTTAAACCTATTACGCGAGATATTAATCTAAGTGGACTGTATCTACTAAATGTTTATACACTTATATAAACGGCAACTATAGCATGCGGTACGATGCACTCGATCTTCCCTAAGATGAACTATTATTTGCCGAATCGATGAAAGGAATCCTGCTTGATTAGGAAAACACAAAATTGGAGCGGGTTAAAACAATTATATCAAGCAGGCTATACTATTAGGAAAATGTCGACTCACCGGGATGTTTCTTCTATGCGGTCGAGCACTATAACTACGACTTCTGGAACTTCTTTTTTTTTATTATTCTGGTTTTATTTAGGGATTTTTGTTCGTTAACATGTCAATCCCATTAAAGCTAACTTAAAATCTATACATTTGTTATTAATCTGCACATACTTAATGCAATATCCGAGGTGGGGGCATGTAGGATGCTCAGAGCAACACCTATATTGTACACATTTATATTATATGTTCTTACAAATAATTCCCTTGCACCTCGGTTGCGCTCACATTCCATTAAAAAATGATGTATGTCTTCAATTACTCCACAAATTTCACAGTTAGGTGAGTCAGCTCTTTTCATCAAGTAAGAAATTTTTTTTGATGGAATGTGACCTGCTCTTAATCTAAATATTAATTTAATAGTATTTCTGTTTAATTTGGTATCCATAAACCAAGGTATTCGAGGCGGTTCACTCTGTATCGTTTTATACCAAATACCTTTCGTTTTAGAACGTTCATTGAAAAATTCTTTCCATTTATTATAACATGATTTTTTTTATTTTTGGTAATATTTCTGAGTAGCAAGAATCAATATAATGCTCTACACCATTTATGCAAGCCGAATTCGCTAATCTATCCGCCTTCTCGTTACCCAATAAACCAATGTGTGCTGGAATCCATTGCACCCTTACACCGATGCCGCATAGACTGAACTGATTTATTTGCGAAAGTATGTCATAGGCTATCGAAACACCTCTGATTCCAGAGGCGGATCGAGCCAAATGTTGGATAGCAGTTTTGCTGTCCGAGTAAATGATAATTTTGTTCCAGTTATAGCTTGCGGCATACCTTAAGGCTTCGGATATTGCAATGAGTTCAAGGGTCATAATACAAACGTCATTTGTAACTTTATATGATCTAGAAATTGCTTGAGATGGGTCAAGAAAAGCTGCCCCTTGCAACTTAGCACTCTTTGATCCGTCTGTATAGATTTTATGCCAATCGTGATATTTATTGTCAAGTTCTTTGATAATATTGACTTTAAGAGAATTTATTTCATAGAATTTTTTAGATTGTGTAACAGACTCTAATTCACTTAATATTATATTTTCAATATCAATGCGAGACAGCCAAATGTTAAGCGAAAATGATTCGAGAAAAGGAGATGAATGTATTTTCATAACTTTAATCTTATTGTAAGATTTAACTAAGAGTGGGATTTTCTTGCGTTGCCAATATCTTGTTTCACAGAGACTGCTAAGCTGCTTCAACAAATCAATTGCAATATTATTCGAAAAAGAGCTGGCTTTTAAAACATATTTACAAGCTAGATATAATCTTCTAATATACAATGGAGGTACACTAAGTTCGCTTTCCATTACATGTATTGGAGAGCTTTTGATAAAACCACCAATAACCCTTAACGATTTATTTTGTATTTTATCTAATTTTGATAAGTGAACATTAGCACAATTATCAAATAAAAAACTACCGTAATCGATTCTACTTCTTATTAACGAAAAATACAGCTAACGAATATGTTTAGGATGAACTCCCCACGATGACGCAGATATTAGCATTAGTATATTTAAAAACTTATTACATTTTTCTGTAATCTTATTAATGTGTTTGTTCCAGAGTAGGTTACTATCTAGCCACAATCCCAAATATTTAAAGCAATTTAAGGAAGTCAGTGAGCGTTCGTTAACTGTTACCTTAGGCAGGACTCGTCTACGTTTTTTTTTTTTTTTTTTTTTTTTTATTTTTTTAAAAACGTTACCCCTACACTAAGATTTTCTCTTGTATCGTGGGGGCAGTTTACAAACATAGATTGCACAAGGACAAACATCCAGACCCGGAACAACTATATGTAGGCCATACAAATACTTGTTCCGTGCGGGATTCGAACCCGCGACCCCCAGCGCAGCTACTCATTGCTAAGCCACTGCGCCACGGAGTCGTCGTTCTCGACTAAACAGGCATAACTTTGTTTTTTCAGTTGACAGCTGTAAACCTAGATCGTTTAATATTTCTACTATACAATATAACGCGTTTTTGATCTTTGACTCGCAAATTTTTAAATCTTTGTCTTTTATATAAATAACAAAGTCATCAGCATATTGAATAATATTTACGTTGTGTTGTGATATTAAATGGCAGACTCTGTAAGTCGCTATATTGAATAGGAAAGGGGATATTGGGTCTCCTTGTGCTTATCCTTTATTTGTGCTTCTTTTAAGTACTTTATTTTCAATTTGAGATTTTACCCGTAAATTTCTTTTGCTTAGGAATGACCATAAATATGTACAAAACCTACTACCAACTTGTAGGTTATCTAATATTTTTAAGACACTATTTATATCAACATTATTGTAAGCATTTTAAATATCCAAAAAGCAAGCTAAAGTGGGCATATTTTGTGTAAATCCAATTTGTATAAATGTTACCAAGCGAGAGTGACAGTCTAAACAAGATTGTGATTTCCTAAATCCAAGTGTCGATGGCGAAAATACGCAATTTTTTTCAATGAACCATTCTAGTCGTTTGAGCATCATAATGTGGAAAGTTTTACAAAGACATGACACTAAGGAAATTGGTCTCAGCTTAACATCAGAATTAGATGGGCCACTATTTTTTGGTATAGGTATAACCAGCACATTACGCCATTGACTTGACTATATTTCCAGATCTGAACACAAGGTTATAAAGAATTAAAAGAAATTTTTTGGCGATATTGGGAAGATTATATATCATACTATATGTGATTTCGTCATCTCCGGGAGCAGTATCTTTTTTTTTAAGACAACTTTTCAATTCTGCCATTGTAAAATCAGTCTCTAATGAAGGATTTTTAGACATAAAATTGGGACATACGTCGGTAGCAGTATCCGGTGTGAGTGAAAGTAGAAGCTTTTCTTGCTGATCTAATGGAATGAATGATTTTTGTTTACGAATACCCTTCATCCATCGCATGCGCTGCCACATGTTTGATATTGAAGTTTCTCCATCTATCGAATCGCAAAAGTTCTGCCAATATTTACGTCTTGCATCTACTATAAGTTTACTAGCTTCTTTAGTTTTTACTTCTAAGTGAGTCAAATTGTTGGGAGTTGGATTACGTCTAAAATTGAGAAGGGCTAATCTTCTTTGAGCAACTGCTCTAGACAGGGCTGGGTTCCAATAATTTGGGGGGTTTAAATTTTGTTGCTGGATCAATGCGTACTTTTATAGTAGGTATACTAGCATCAGCCGCTTTATCAAGTTGAGAAAGTAGAAAGTTATACATTTCTTGAATACATGTTTCATCCTATATATCAATATCTGATAAATCATCGCTAAAGGATTCTTTAATTATGTTAGTATGTGCTACCCAATCAATTTTCTTAAAATTACGTTTCTAAATGCCATTATAGTGTTTTGGGATTTTAGTACTTAATTTAATTAATAGATAATCGCTGCCTAGATTTTCATTGAGCACCTTCCAATCGAAATTTATAGCAATATCATTTGATACAAAAGAAACATCTGGGGAAGTTTCTTGTAAAAACCCATTGACAAGTTTAACTCTTGTTGGCATTCCATTATTAAGAGAAAAATAACCATGTTCTACCGATGCGTCTACTAATTGCACTCCTCGTGCATCGTTTTTGTACGACCAATTGCTGTGGTGCCCATTAAAATCACCTGCTATTAACGATTTTTTTTGGGAAGAGGGAAAATAGCTCCTCCCATTCTGATACCTGAGTTCTAACTGAAGATGGACAATAGATTGATATAATATTTTGTAAGAAATCACAATTGTGCAATTTAACACATACGGTTTCTATGCCTGGGTTAGTTAATCGAATTATACTTACTACGCTTTTAAGTGAGTTGTGTGTAACGATTGCAACTCCACCATAAGAGTCATATCTGTCCCGTCTATAGATATTATAACCTTTAATATTAATATTATCATCGTTATCTAACCATTTTTCACTTAGTATGGCTATGTGTATTTTTTCTTTTACCAAAAGCTCCCCCAAGATCTATCAATTTTGGTTTCAAACTTTGTGTATTCCACTGTAATATATTAATAGCGATATTTTTGTTATTTGTACTATCCATTATTCATATAATTTAAAACTGTTTCATAAATTTTTCGTCCTGATATTAAACTACTCACAAATGTTTTAATTACTTTAAAAATAGCCATGAAAACCGCAATAACTTTATGCTCTAATCTTTTTCTAGAGTACCAAATAGAATGAATTTTTAATAAGAGTCCCTTAAAATCAAATGTTTTTTGTCTTATTTCTTCTTCATCTGAAGTACTTTTTTGGCTTTCTTCTTCTGCTTCCTTAAACTGCGTATCATTTTCTATTGTATTTATTTTTTTCCTTCCTTTTCTTTGCCTTTGTTTTGTCTTCTCCTTTTTATTTGTTTCTATGAGTATTGTTCCTTCATCTGAGGCTAATTCTTGATTATTTTCCTTATGAACTTGAGCGTTAGTAACAACCTGACTATAACTTCGAGCTCCACGGTTTTCCAAAACTTGTGTCGGCTGTTCTGTCATCTCTTGATTGACAAAAGTATCTTTAGAGTGTATATTTAAGTTATTGCTCATTTCTATTTGATTTTTATTTATAATCATCTGAAGAGCTTTTCTATAAGGTATATTTTCCTTACTCATAGTGATACGTATTTCTTTTTCTTTGAGATACGTAGGACATCTTTTATCTAAAACGAAATGTAATCCTTTACAATTGAGGCACTTGTATGTTTTTAGATCACAGTTTATGTGTTCCGTACTACCACATTTAGGACATAAAATTTTTTTAGTCGGGCATACTTTAATAATATGTCCGAATTTCCAGCATCCGGTACATTGTGTTACTGGAAAAGTGTAGTTTTCCACTTTAAATTTATACTCATATGCCGTGACATAAAGAGGTAAAACAGTGCCTTGAAAGCATATCCTTACAGTTTCACTTTCGACCCACTTGCTATTTAAATCAAGTCGTTTAAGTCGTCTTACCGCCAATATTTTGGTATCACTTTTCAAAATTGCTAAAATATCTTGTTCTGTAAACTCCAAATCTACACCTCTAATCAATCCATAAGAAACCGTGGTTTCAAAAGTTTTTTGACATTTGTACTCTAATGCTTGAAATTTTTTACAACTTATTAATTTTTCCGCATCATTATTACTTTGAAAGCAAATCAAAACTTTGAAAGGGGACTTATATTTGATTGTTTCAATATTCAGAATATTCTCACTTCTTAATAATTTAGCTAACGCCATTTGCTTTGGTAATTCTTTAAATGATGTAACACAAACCTCATTTTTAGATCCGATTTCTTTCGATGTTGTATTTTGACCCTGTCCTGTTGAAATACTTCTTAAGAGACGTTTCGGTCTTCTTTTTTCAACTGTCACATAACCATCTTCGCTGTTTGTATCTTCTTCACATGCTTTTCTCTTCTCCGATCTCACTTCAGGCTTTCGAGTTGTGAACCCAGCGTTTGCATGTTCCATTTCAGACTCACGAGTGATTCTTCGATCGTCAATTTGGCTTAGTTCTAATTCACATTTACGTATGATTTCCGAATCACTTTCATCACTTCCATCTATCGATTTATCTTTATCACTATCCATATTTAAACATTGAGGGTAAACTGATAAAAAATCTTTGTATTACGAACTGAGCGGTCTTTGACGTGTGTGTACCAGACGACAGCTCGCGCAAGACTGTTGGAACTTCTTCTGGAACACTCCGGAGAGAGGCGGTGCGCGACTATATCTCACACGAGGTGAGGCGGGTTTCCTGGAGCTCGACTGCTTCCAGGCTAAAGCGGTTCTACTAGTGGTGTGGTTCCAACAACGAGCGCGGCGGGAAGAGGCTGCGCGTCGGTCGCGCGTGCCTTATATATCCTCGGTTCCGATGATTACGTGATATTCTAGAATCATCTTCTTTCCCCTCCCACCCCACCACCCCGATGTGTCGATAGGAGGGTATGAATGATATCGTTTTGGAATGGGATAACCGATTTGGCAGCCTACCGTCAAATTAAATAAATACGAATGGTTTTCCGCGCAACCATCTCCCCCCGCCCTTGAAGGATTTCCTTCAAAAAATAACTAAAACAACTAGAGCTAAGATCAACTAACAAAATAACTAACTAACGCTAAGATTACCTAAATTCCACTACAATTTTTAATCTAGAAAGCTAATTTAAATTATGGAAGAGGCAAGGGACACAAACGGACAACAGGACACAGGTAAGACCCAACCGTGGTCTTAACGCGAGCTATCCTAATTACTCCGTCGGAACCGGGAAAGACCTCTTCGACAATTCCTAACGGCCAGTGGAGAGGCGGCGTATTCTCTTTGGTGAGCACAACTACAGTTCCTACAGCTAAAAGCTCAGTCGCTGTGTTCCATTTTTGCCGAGACTGCAAAGTATGCAAGTATTCCATCCTCCATCGTTTCCAAAACGTTTGCACTAACCGGTCTAATAATTTGTAGCGTGCGGAAATGCTAAGTCTGTTCTCATCCATATCTGCGGCGGGCAAATACTTTAAAGGCGTTAAATTCAAAAAATGTGCTGGAGTTAGAGCCAGCGGTTCCGAGGGGTCGCTAGACAATGTACGACAAAGTGGGCGGCTATTCATTACGCATTCAATTTGAGCGAGCACCGTACTTAGCTCTTCGAAGGACAAAATTTGATCTCCTATTACTCGGTATAAGTGACTCTTTAGACTCTTAATATTAGTCTCCCAATTGCCTCCAAAATGACTCGCGGCTGGGACGTTCAGAGACCACTCAATGCGGTTCTCGGCTAGAATGTGAGCGAACTCCGAATTATAGTACTTGCTAGCTAAGAGCTCATGTAGTTCCGATAGAATACGTTTCGCACCGACGTAGTTCGTACCGTTATCCGAATATAATTTACTTACAGGGCCTCTGCGGGATAGAAATCTTTTAAATGCACCCATAAAGCCTGCTGTGCTTAGATCACCAACGAGTTCTATATGCACCGCTCGAGTAGTTAGACATACGAAAATGCAGACGTAAGCCTTTGCGGATCTTATACCACGCCCGCGAGTGAGCGTGACCTTAAACGGACCAGCGAAATCAGACCCGGTGTGCGTAAAGGGCTTTACTGATTGTATTACTCTACAAGATCTAAATTCCGCCATTTCCGGAAATGACGGCTTGGGGCGTGCCCGAAAGCAAGCTATACATCTGTGCACCCGATTGCGTATTAAACTACGTGCAGAAAGAATCCAATAATTCTGACGCAAAATCGACATCAACAAGTCGGGGCCAGCGTGCGAGTTCAATTTATGATGGTAATCGACTAATAAGTTCATGATATGGTCTTTACGCGGTAAAACTATAGGGTGCCGTTGGTCGAAACTCAATTGCGAGTTGGACAAGCGTCCACCTACCCTTACAATCCCATCCTGTAAAAATGGCTTAAGGCGTTGAAAGGCGCGACTACAAGCTCTATTCGATTGTAATCTTGTAATTTCTTCAGAGAAATGTGCACGTTGAAGTTCACGTAATACTAGCGACTCGGCATAGTTGTAATCGAACGCTAAGACATACGAACGTCGCGGTAAAAGCTTCGCGAATCGACAAACGTAAATTACGCTACGCAATAATTTCGACCAAGAGGACAAGCGGTTCGCCAAAGCAATGACTGGAGAAACCTCGCTCGAAACGTTCGCCACTAGAGCGTGTCTCCTCTCTTCCGGCGGTTGTGACACTGACGAAAGTTCGAAATCGGTTATCGGCCATTGCGAGAGATCCAAGTGAACCCAAGAAGGTCCATGGAACCAAAGCGGGTGGTCCATTATTTGCATCGGGGTGAGTCCCCGGGATAGACAATCGGCAGGGTTTTCCGTACCGGTCACGTGATAAAAGTTCCGCGTTTCCAACTCGTCTTGGATCTTGGCCACTCGGTTCGCGACAAACGTATCCCAATGGTGGGGGTGAAGAATGAACCCAGCATAAGGCGACGGTGGAGTCGGAAATGGCAAATATCCTTTCTACTCGTATGTGAACTCTATCCCTACATGCGCTGATAACTGCGGTAATAAGCTTGGTGAGTACTAATATTGCGCAAAGCACTAAGCGCGCCAGAGAGACAACCTTACGGGGGGAGACTCTCGACTTAGAACTAATGAGGCTAATCGAATTTCTACCATTATTCTGAACGTGGAAATATACAACGCCCCCGTAAGCCTTCTCGCTGGCGTCTGCAAACCCAACGACCGTTATGACGCTATTTCTATCTACGTTTATATGACGCGGTATTTTAATTTCTCTTAGTAAAGGAAGTTCCTCTCTAAAACACTGCCAAAATCGAACAATGCTGTCAGGCGGCGAGTCATCCCAATCGCATTCAAATAACCAAAGTTGTTTAATCAAAAAGCTTAGCGTATAATACCACCGGAGCTACGAAACCCATGACGTCCCATAATCTAGCAACGCATGACAGTATTGTGCGCTTTGTGCATTTCTCTACGGGCGGATTTACCTTAAGGCTAAACACGTCGGACTCTGGTGACCAACACAGACCGAGCACCTTGTGTGTATCGGAATCGTCGAATTACTTTATCGCCGAAAGACCACTTCAGAAAATCGAATTGACCCGATTTCATGAGCTTTATAACCTCGGCGGTGGTTAGGGTAGCCTCCTCCACGCTATCGACCGAGTACACAAAATCATCCATATATAATCCGCTCTCAATTGCCCTCTTAGCTTTAGGATAAGAGGGACCTTCATCGTGAGCGAGCTGTCTCACCGTGCGTAACGCATGAAATGGGCTCGACTTTAAACCAAAACAAACGCGGTTAAATTCAAACACCATTAGAGGTTCCTTTGGGTTGAAACGATATAAAATGCGTTGGAATCTACGGTCGCATTCACGGACCCCTATGCAAAGAAACATTTGGCGAATATCGGCGGATAGTGCTATACTAAACAAACGAAAATTGGCTATTATATTAAATAAACTACCCTGTAAATTTTGCCCACTATAGAGGATATCGTTAAGCGACAGGTGCGTGCTAGCTTTAGCACTAGCGGCGAGCACTACACGTAACTTAGATGTAAGTTTGTCCTCCCTAATGACCCCGTGGGGTGGTATGAAATACGACGGTGTGTCTTCGTAGTTATCTAATTTCGAAGCCACGAGTGATATGTAACCTTCTCTTATATATTCATTAATGACGCCGTCATAAGCTTCCTTTAACTGGGGTGAAGCGAGCATCCTACGCTCCAAGCTGTAGAAACGTTTTTCCGCCATTTGACGCGAATCGCCGAGAGATAAAACATCTCCTTTAAGGGGTAGCGCTACACTATATCTACCGTCGCGATCACGAACGGTCGTGCGGACGTAAATTTCCTCGCATAATCTGTCATCTGAGCTAGCTATGGGTGGGACGTTCAACTCCTCCATCTCCCAAAATTTGCGAACTAACGACTCGAGCGGTTCGACAGCCATACCACAATAAGAGGTTGCCGAAATACTATCTATGATGGGGGCGGAGCCAACGATAACGTAGCCCAATACGGTTTCCAGTGCGTAAGGCGCGGTATGCGAGGAGTTGCCCCTGACCTTATTGTTTAACAAAAGATGAGGGAAAAGCGATGCTCCAATGAGCATGTCTATGTTTCCAGGAACGGTGTAAGTGTCGTCTGCTAGAGTCAAATTTTTAAATTCAATCATTGCCGAGGTGTCAACCGAAACGGTTGGCAACCGTTCAGTGACCCTATCTACTACTAGTGCATTTATATCAAAGTTAACATTACGATCTATCCGAGAATAAAATTTTAAATTAATATATCCCTGGGTAGCTTTACTAGTACCTCCGATGCCTTTAACTACAGGACATGAAAGTGACCTATTTATTACTAAGCCTAAGCGCTGACAACATTGTCGTGTTATAAAGCTATTTTGGGCTCCGCTGTCCAGCAGACAGACAACAGCAGACGCTTTGTTCGTTTCCACGCGAATCCCTAACCAAAATACGCGCCGTACCCAGTAACACGGTTGAAGGAGGTTGTGCTCCCATATTTGCCAATGAGCACAGAGCGACATCACCAGGTCGATCGCTAGAATCGTTGACCTTAGTAGGGGTGAATTCCTTGTCCGCCTTACTTGACGCCGCTATGTTGCTATTTTCAAAATGTAATAGCGTGTGATGTTTCCTGGCGCACTTGCTACATACGGAACTCGAATTGCATTTTGCAACTAAATGCTTATCACTTAAGCAGTTCACACATAGGTTGTTTGTCTTTACTAATTTATAACGTTCGCTTGGTGAATATTTACGAAAAGTCGCACAATTATATAAATTACCGTGTTTATCTTTACATACGATACAAGTATGCTGAAGTGATGTTGACGTAGCGGTTACGTACGTTAACGACCCTGCTATTTTAAATGGTTGAGTCTGTCTACGGTCGACGCACCTTTTAATCTCCTGTTTAACGTTCGGAGAGCGCTGCATTACCTTTATTTGATCTCGCACGAACGATGCTAATGAATAAAAGGAAGGCATCTCCGAGCTACGATGCTCCATTTCAAACGCACGCACGGTGTCGGGGTCTAATTTCTTTAGTGCAATATGGAGAAACACC